TTCCCAACCCCGTCCACCTCCACCTCCATCTTCCGTCCCCGACAACGTAAGCTTTTCCTCGCTCTCCCCCGGCACTAGCGACTAAACGAGAACCCAAGCATCGGAGATGCTTTTGGGAAAAACATGTTCTAGACGTTGATTTACAACAAGTAAATCACTGTCTGGTTATACCAAATCTATATAGGACATAATGTTAGCGCGGTTACACATACACTTCCACATCTACGCAATACAGTAAGCATTCATGTGTCAGCAGGCTGTGCCTGCTTCTTCATGCGCTCTCACAACATCACTTGGCAAGGCGTTCCATGTTTATCCAAAATCACATGGCTAAGCAGATGAGCACAAATCTTCGAGGTTCTGCCACTTTTAGTTGCGCTTCGGTTTTCTTACAAGTTCCTGGTTCTGTGCATGAAAAGGTGTATATATATATATAGTATTTTATATACATATATATATATGTGTAAAATGATAGTATACAAATTTATAAATAATCGAGTCGCTTCGGGTCGTTTCTTTCAAAGAAGGTACAGCCCCCTGTGGCGCAAATTGTGCAAATAATGAACAAAAACTGCGAGCAGCCAAGATGCTGAGTGAGAAAATCCGGGAACCTTGTTGCCCAAACCTGGAGAGCCACAACCAAGTCATGATGAGACCTGTGATGGTAGAGACAGGCCTTTCAGATACTTTCACCTCCAACACTTGAACATAAAGCTTTTGGGCCTCATGGACGGCTGCGGTAAGAGGCTGGCTCGCCTCCTGCGTGCGCTTTCAACACCAGGACTTCGGTCAGGGCTCGCAAACCAAGAAAAAGCAGCCTCGGCCTGCTTCTGTAGCATGGACACATCGACCTGCACTGCTAAGTTGGCCGAGCTGCTTTGGGCAACACATACCAAGTGACAGGCCCGAACTGTGTCGGAGGAAATGTTTGCAAGAGCACATGGCCTTAGGATGCCCAATAGTCCAAAGTCTAATCAACTGACCTGACTCGATTTTGTGAAAAAACACGTTCCTGCAAGGACTAGAAGGGGTAGCTTACATGACAAGGTCAAGTTCCACACTTGCATGGCGCAGTAGCCTGGTCCCAACCACCTCAGCATGATCGTCTATCGTCGGCAAGATCCAGCACGTCCACAAGAATCTGATCTGAGGTGCAGGCTAAATAGCCACATCGTCTACTACAAACATTCTATGAAAGTCTGTCGCTCCCTGCTCGTCCGTGTGGTGTGTCTCTTGCAAGTCCACTACTGGTGTACATCCAGCATTTGCAGAAGACATGCATACGTATATATATATATACCTGAATTGGAAGTCTGCGCATCTGTTGGACGGGCTTGATCTTGTTTGCTGAACTGGCCACCGAAGGTCATATCAATGCCGCCAATGCCGCAACTTCCCCATAACTTTCCCACGGCCCGAGAAGAATGTCAAGAGAGCAAGATGGGTCTCTTGCCCTGTTTTGAAGATCGCAACAGTTCCAGGCAGATTGCAGTCCTATGACAGCAAGCGGCACCCTGGGCTTTCCACATGACTTCTTTGGTTGACCGAATAAGTGTGACTACGCATGGCTCCACATGGCTTCACCCCCCTGGAATGCCCGAGTCAAACTAGGACAAATCGACAACTCTAGCTAGTTCATCTGCTTCATCTGGTTCCAGTTCCGGCCAGGCAAACAAACAGCTAGACTTGCTTGCAGGCGCTTTGGCTCACTGCAGCTTTAACACTAGGTAAGTCACCCTGGAAAGGATGCTACGTCTTGTCATGTCATTGAGTCGAAAGCCTGCTTCAATGCCTCGGTCCGAAACAAGGACGCTGTTAGGCTGGGCGAAGTGGCAGGTTGCAGTACTATCTTCTGCTGCTACTCACCGCAACGACAGCTTTTGCTAGGCTGCTAGAAAGCTTGTTCAAGGCATCTTAGACTTGCTGTAAATACCGCTCCCTGAACTTCTTGCCAAGAAGGGTCTCGGTACAGCGTTGGCCCTATCGGTTCTGCAGAGTGTTGACCATTTCAGAGATACTTCAGGTTGCCTCTTACATATACGGAAGCTTGGTCAAATGTTCAATTAGCCTAAAGAATCCCTAAAGACCAGCGTCCATGCCAAACGGGAATCAGGTCACCTGAGTATGTTCGGGGTGGCTCGACGTCAGCACCGCCATGGAGCTTCCAACACCTGACAATTGATGGAACACTGGAGCCTATCCCAACGGGCCTATGAACTGCATCTGTCAGTGGCCAGACTGTTCCACCCATGCGCAAACATTAGAGGAACAAAAATTGACTTTGCGCTTGTGTGTGTGTGCAGGGTCCTGCTGCATAGTGATTCAATGAGCCTCCAAAAAGTGTTTGTAAGTTGCACCCGCGATTCAAGGCCTGGGCTGGCATCGAGGTTCAAATTCAAGCAGCAGGTTGCACGGTGGCAGCGGAATCTCCCATTAAGGTTGCTGCACCACGCTCATCTGAAGTGCCGAAACCCTGCAAGCAAAAGCAAAATCCACCCACTATATACAACCTCACCAAGCTCAAACTATAAAAAGGCATGAGTCTATAGATCAAGTTTGCACTTGTCTTCCTGGCTTCGTTCGGTTTTCTTTCTTCCTTTGCCTTTGAAGTGACTACTGCATCTAGTAGGAATGACCCGTGGATCAACGAGTTCTTGTGCATGTGCGGTCTTGCACTCCGCACCGCTCTGGCCCATAGGGGGGGCAGTACAACTTGCACGAACGAGTGATTTAGCCGCTCTTTGGACACAGGCCACAGCAACCTAACTATATACAGTAATAGCTAAGCTCACATCAAATTGAATCAGAGGTTGGCCCGAATTGGCCCAGCCACTCTACGAGAAATCCCCCACCCCGACCTCACTGTAAACTCCTAAAGTCCTATCACGGTTTGGCAGCAATTGATGCGGGGGTCGGACGATGGATTTTGTGAAGCTGGTTGGCTGCATCGCCACACGGCACGAATTAACCAACCTGGATTGCTCGGTTAAACTGGAGAAGTATGAACAAAGGGAACCAAGCAGGCCGCACACATTGCTGTTTGGGTCCAGCCCTTTCCTCCTACACCTTCATGTTTTGCTGCATCACAGCTATCACGTTAGAAAGGAAAGACTGAGTGCCACCTGTGGCCCGAGTCCCGCGCATATTGCCAAGCATCACGGCAGAAGCAGAAGAAAATAGAGTCCGCAACCTTACACTTCGAGAGTGATCTGCTCTGCATCATGACTGTTGCGACACCAATTTCTGGGTGACAAGCATGATCGCTCAGCAAACAGAAAGGCCAGGAGATCAGCATGCAAATCTCAGCATCCGGGTAGAAGAATGGATGTCTCATTCATGATTCATGGTGTGTGATCTTCCACCTAAAGCACATGCCTGCTACTAGATCATAGCGGTGCGAATAATTCAAAGAAGGGTGAATGAAAACTTGAAAGCTTCCCGCCACAAAGGAGATGAAGCTCACGAAGGTAGGCAACTGCAATGACGCTACAGGCAGTACTTACATGCATGCATTGAAGCGTCAAGCGAGGCTGCAGTGCCATGATCAGGTTTGGGCTGCTTGTAGAGCTGTAGTCTGGCCAAACCTTCAAAGCTCACTTTTCCCAGCCCAATCTCAAGAAGTCAAAAAAGGATTTTAAAAAAAGGCAATCTCGAGAGACGTCCAAGGTTGGAGGCAATCGCTAGTAGGTGGAGGCCATCGCTAGTATTAGCTTTGAACACGCTGGGCTGATTGACTCTGTCGAGCCCCCCGCTGCGCAAAGAAGTCGTGTCAGTGCTGCTCCCACCGCAGAAATGGAGAAGCTGCTTGATGTAGCAACTAGAAGGGCAGCACCTGAGGCTACAAGCAGCCAACACACAGAAGCACCCAGCAGTTTCTTGCATGTTGTGGAGCTGCGTTGGTGATCTGAGGTGGGGCAAGGCTTATGGCAATATGGGTGCGGTGATCTCGCAACATGCTTGACCTGCCTGGGTTTGAAGACGATCAAAAATGAACTCGGGTGAGGTTGACGTGGCCATTTGTGATCTGTCACAATGTGTTTTTTGGAAAGTGCGGGTAGGGACCTGTCACAGCGGAGAATCGGTGTCTGATGGTGTGTGTGTGTGTGTGAGCGCGATGTGAGAGTGAGAACCTGTGCGATGCACATCTTTCCACCTCCCCGCAAAGCGGCACCCTTTCACTCCTCAGCACACCATGCAGAGGCAACTCATTTTCATTTACGGGTTAGCTCGGCTTTAATTTTAAAAAAAATAACAAAAACAAATCCGCCCGCACCAAAGGTGCTGGGGCGTGTGCATCCGGATGGCAAAGTCGATCGCAACATTTCAGGTTTTGCTGGGGGAGTGCCTTTTTCGGCCAAGAAACCTAAGGTTTGGAAAGTTGTTGAAAATCGAGTGCAAAAGACGTAGTAAATAACCGCATTTGATGAAGGATTTGAGATGCGCAAGTTTGAGGCGCCATTGAAAAAGTTTAGAAACCGTTGGGGTCTTTAGAGTTGGTCAAAAATAACCAGGTAGAGCCGGCATTAGCCAGGTAGAACCGGGATGATGGGAATCTATGTCATCTATGATCATCTATGCCTTTTATTATAGCACTCAGAACATCTTCTGAAAAGCACTGTGTCACAAGAAGCACACGTCACAAAGGCTTCACAGTTAACATCTCACGCACACATGAAGTTCCGCGTTTTGTGCTATATACTAGCAACAAGTCTAGAATCTGCACTAAAGCTTAAGCTCGCAATGTCAAACAGCAGCCTTGCTAAATGTCAAGTTCACAAGGTTCAACAGGTGTTCGGTGTCCAAAGAAGGATTCCCTCATTCTTTAGTTGCATTCACATCTGGCCTGTTTTGCATGTTGAGCAAAGCGGCACTGCTGATACCACGCTTCCCACGTCAACCACAACTACTACGACGACGGCTGCTGCTGCAACCAGGATTGAATCTAGCCACCACCAGTACTTACAACGAGACAATACTACTGCTCAGACCACAGATACCGGAACATTAGCACAAACATTTCTCCCGGTGCGGGCGTACCCAGCCCCGTAGCGGCGCGAATAATAGGAAAGCCATGCTAAGCAGCAAGTGTGCCCGACTTCCACCCAGCCGCTCTCCTTCATGGAGTTTGTGTCTGAAAAGCGGTAGAACCAGGATTGCTAATAAAGCGCGCACACACACACACACACATCAGCACGCAAAGCCAGGACAAAAGATTTTGATCACACAGACCCATAGATGATTGCCTGAGTTAGTGCAAAAGGTCCGCAAAAAACAGAGCTAGAATGACTCTCTCTATATATACATATGTATACCAGCAGTCTCACGTTCGTCTGGGTGTGGGCAAAAAAATCTAGCAAATGGTGTTCGCTGCACTGAGGCAGCGTCCATCAAATTCAGAGACATTGACTTGCTTGCCCGCCAAATATTGACTCGGAAGCATTGCAAATAGCAAAGTCCAGTTGTGAACAGTGACCGCATATAACAGGTTTACTGAGTTTACTGTAAAATACTGTAAATCACAAACTGAAGGTCAAGTGGCTCAGCATCATGGGCCGCTTCAATGAATCCATGCCCGGCCAGCGCTATGTCCATGTATGCACCTGAAAAGTTATGGCACATCTGGTCTCAAGTCGATGTGGAGTGGCTGGCATGAGTCACACGATATCAGGTAAGTTGAAGTTTCAGAGTTCCCAAGTGTTCAAAACACAGGCTGAATGGAATGCAAAGAGAGTTGGCACTGCGTCGCAACTTGCGGATGTTCTTCCTCAGCCCAGTCAAACAAAGCCAACAACACCCACATGTAGCACGGTTGTCGGCCAAGACGCTCGTAGGCTTGGATGGCTGCTTCGCACACCTGGCTTTATGAGCCGAAGCAAAGTGTAGAAACCCAAAGCTAGAAGAGGATTGCAACTGATTGCAACCGTGCTCAAAAAGTTCACTCTTGCTCCTTCCCGGCCTTGTTCCAGCAACCGAGAGCGGCAGCACACTTGGTGCACAAATTTGCATCCTCATCCTCTGCTTTGCGAATAGGTCCTTGCAGGTCGCGGTTTCAAACGGTTTGGGAAGCGTAAGTGCATTCTTTTCAACCAAGTGGCGAGTGGTGTAGTCGAGGACCTACAGCTTTGAGCGCTCGACTGGTCTTCAGCACACTGACATGAATTGCCATGCCATATCACTGCTGCAATTTAGCAACACTGATATGATATTATATATATACATACTGCATTGCTCAAGCAGTAACAAGTTGGAGCCACACCAGTCTCACAGGGCGCATGATCAGAATGACCAAAGATCCAAACCTCAGTTTCGACAGAAGGAGCCGACTCAGCCAACACAGTGTAGAGGTCCAAAGGCTCTTGCGCAAGGGATCCAAGATGGTTCTGAACCTCACAGGAGCCAAAGTCAACTGATCTCATCGTTTGCAGTGGGTAATCAATCTTCTTGCAAGGCAGCCGATCAAGCTTTGTGTGTCTCTGGACTTCCCCTGTGCTGACTTGTCAGCCTACATTTTAAATGAAGACCTTGATCCACCCTTCCAACCATCTTACATGGTCAACTGCCTTCTCGGTCCGAGAATTGCCAAAACAAAGTGTCGTCTAGGTATTGTTCTGGGTGTTGCTCTGGATGTTTGGCGAAACCGACACTAGTCGGCTGTGGATCAAGATTCGGACACCGGTTAGTTGACCGCTGAAAATGTAGAGAGTATAGATTACCCTAACTTAAAATGGCTGTCAACTTGCCACGGCTTAACCTACCATGGCTTCGTGGAGGAGGATTTGGGTGGCCAGGTTGGTTGGCAAGGTTCTTGCACGGAACAAACATAGTCAAGGCGTCCAAACAGAGCACTGACCAAGTGATAAAGCGATATTAACAATGTAAAGTAATAAACATAGGTAGCGACCAGCGTAGCTGTTCTTTCTTGGGCTCCTTACAGCAATAGTTTTGCAGGGTGCGTCACCATTGAACTCCAGCATGATAAGGCCAAAACCGTCATTGGGTACAAGATACATGCACAAGCTACGACCCATCCGCACATGTCAAAAGCTTGAACCTTGAGGACCTGAAACACGTGACATGTCGGAAAGCTTGGATGCCCACTATGGCACAGTACGCATCGAGGAGCAAGCTGTTCCTTGGCCAACTGGTCTCCTAACTTCGTCAGTGCACTTCAAACTCCAAGGACAAGACCCTTCAAACTGCTTCTCCTGAAACATTGCAACGTAACACAAACCACTCCACACACGCACCTGCAGCAACAAACACGCACCTCCATGGGTGAATAGAACCAGCTTGCGGACATGTATGCATATACAAAGCATGACCTAGGCCAGCACAAGTGACTACAAGCGGGCAAGTCAAAATGTCAGACCTGCAACCCAAAGAGTTCAATCAAGAGTTGTGCGCCCATGGCTGGTGAATGTATCTTCACACGCTCTGGCAAGGAAGTTAGGTATCGTGAAACCAGGCTGGCATCTGATGCCAGCTACAAGGCTGCCGTTTGGCATTCTAAGACATAACAGTGACAATTTGGCCAAGCTCCTTCGGAGCATCAACAGCTGAAGTTGTAAAAACAGCTGTTAGCCTCATCCTTGCCAGCCCGGTCCGGATATTTAGCACATCTCAAAGCTCTGATTCTTCCATCGTTCCAAGTTCTCAGGCAAGCAGGCCGCCTGGCTTAGAGGTGAAAGCATACGTCCAATGTCCTTGCTCCCACCCCAGAAGGCGTCAACCAGGTGAATCTTGCGCCCAGGCCAGCCGCCTTTGCCGGGGCACTGCGGGGCGAGAGGGAAGCTAAGATCGGCTTTCACCTTTGGCTCTGGTGATTTTATCTGGCCTTCCGCTACTAAGAGCCATTCTGGCAAATCAGGTTCCAGTTTCGGACTGCGCCAGGATGTTCCGGTGGAAGCCGCTGATGGCAGGTTTGGAGTCGAGCTGCATTTTGGCAAATGCTCATTGAACTTCAGGCCTGGGGAGAAGAGGCTCGTTCCTGCACTCGGGCTGCTGTCTGGAAGTTCACCTCGAGCTCTACCTTCAAATTTCTTGCTCCGCACACGGAAATCCCGTGCTACTGCATCAGCCCTTCTCTGCTGCTGCCTGGTCAACTTCATGTAGCTTCCAGGGATGGTTTTGAACCCCATATCGAAAGGCGCGACTTCGGTCTTGGGCACCTCAGTGCCTGCAATCCAAGCCGTCTCAGACCATGTCAAGAACTTCGTGCGATCCACATCGAGAAGGTCGAACATTGCCATTGTATCACCTCGATAACCGATTTGTTGGCAGCCAAATCTGAAGTCTGCAAGTTTCACCCTGTCATCCTTTCTCACATCCATTACCTCATCCCAACATACCTTCCAACTTCCAAAGCTGGCCTCGGCACAATCGTTGAACTCCTTCAACAGCTGTGCAGTTGGCAAGTCTAATTCCCACAGGCTCACCACACCATTGCCATTCTCGTCGAGTTGATTCCACAGCTCGCGGGCGCTCCCGGCAAAGCCGACATCCTTTACAGATTGCTTGAACTCCTGGTAGTCCAAATGTCCGTTGTGATCTCGGTCTAGCCCTTGTCTCCAAGCCCGTATGTAGTTCTGATAGGACTTCAACAGCAGCATCTTAAACTGCTGTCTCCAGTCTTTCCTTTCAGGTCCTGCTACTGGAGGCAGCCATTGCGCGGCTGGTTTTGCCCATCTGGACTCAGGCTCTGCGCTACCAATCCTATCGGGTTGTCCGTTGGCAATCCAAATGTGCAAAAAGCCAAACTCTTTCCTGGAGATGCCGGTGGATGCCCGATCAGTTGCCAGTTCAGAGAACAAATGCAATGCATTGCCTCTGAAGCCCAGCTCCCTTGTAGCGGCCACAAATTCTTCTTCCGAGATTCTCAAAGCTCCTCTTCGATTGAAACAGCTTTTCCATGCCTTTTCCACTGTGCCGAAGATGGACCAAATAGTCACGGCCAAACTGGTTTGCATTTCGGCCAAGTTAGGATCCACCTCTGCCATGGAAATGAAACCGGATCGGTCCAAGTCCAGGGCGCCAAAAAGCTCCCTTGCTCCCTTCCCACAACCCAAGCTCTGACAACCTCGCATGAACTCAAAAAATGAGATCTTTCCGTCTTGATTCACATCAATGGCTTTCCACGCCCCTGTAATGCTTCCATACTTCTGAAGCAAGAGCTTGTGAAAATCTTGCCGTATCTTCTCGCACCGTTCCACGCTGGGCTGTGGATAATCCTTGTAGTCCCTCATGGCCAAGGAGTGCCAGTCTCTTGGCACCTTGTGTTTTTGGGTGCTCTAGACATGTGCGTGCGTGCGTGCGTGTGTGTGTGTGTGTGTGTGTGTGTGCGCGGCACTTTGGGCCCACTGCTGTGTGCTTGCAGTTTGCTCTCTGTTTTCTTCTGTGTCTCCTCTTTGCGTTGAACATGCATTGAAACACATGCTTGGGCCCGGCAATTACAACCAATTGGACATATGGGTTTCACGAAGCCAAGACTGATGAGAATGCTTTGTGTTGGTGATAGTGTGAACATCCCAGGGGCACAAACAATTCCGAGTCAGAGAAAAAGCACAGGAATGGGCACTGCATTACTGAAGTCGTACACCCAGAGAAAGGCAAGAATGAAGCCAGCGGCAAGCCACAAGTCCTTCGCCTCTCGAAAAATGACTGATCAAAAGGATTACATTCTGATGGATTCTGTTTCTTGGATGCCTGTACGACCCATTCCTTCCTTTTTCAATATACCAGCCATCAGCACGGATCAAGCCTGGTAGTGGATCTGGTATGTGGCCCCATCCGGAACCCGATCGAAGGCAGAAGCAAAGAACATCAAGCCTGGGGATAGATGTAAAGCACTTTCTTGCCTGCACTATGGGCTGGACAAACTGCCGATCATCAAGTTCAGGAATGCAACCCGCAGTAGACAACCCATAGTAGGTGCGTTGCCAACAGCGAAGTTGACCAACAAGATAACCTGCCAGAAGCATGGAAGAGGAGGTGCCCCTGTACCCTCTGTGCTCCGTTTTTCCCGAAAGCTGAGCGAAGACTGCGAAATCGAATCTTCTCGCATCTGACATCTTCGCAGCTTCACATCCTCACATGTTCACATCCTCTTCTTAGGGGATTGGGTGGGTGGGCGAGACGCCACGAAAGTGAACATTAAGTGTCCGAAGCTGTCTTCGAACGAAGGCGCCAACCCTTTGGAATCACGCGCGTTGAGTCGAGTGCCCGAAGCCGCGATGACAAATGTTGCGATCGAAGTGTGATTTTTCTTTTTAGTAGAAGCTAGGTAGCTAGTACCTACAAGTAGGCTACTACCGACAGGACGCAGGATAGTTCACGTTTCTTCAAGGAAGCTCCCCCGGCCTGAGGGGTTTCTAGATTTTTTGGGAAACTTAAGCTAAGTCTGAGATGGTCAAAGTGTGAAACTGTCGACGGCTTCAACCTTGCAAACTGACCATCTATAATTTGTTTGGTACGCTGTGGGGGTGTTGACTCGCGAGGTCTCGGGTCCGAGTCCCCCCCTGGTCCGGTCTGAGCGATTGATCGTTTTGGTGCGAAAAACTGAAACCTTCGTCGAATATACAAATGTATGTTGCAGGCAGCCTGCAAAATTATATAGATATTTATATATATATATATATACGTCTGCTGCCATGGCGGTTTGGCAAGGCTTGGGTGGAACATGTGCGCGTGTGTGTGTGTGCCCCTTGTAGTCACAGGGATCCTGTGGGATTGTACCAATTTTTCTCGTTTTTCAGCAGGGGGGGCGCAGCAGATGCAAGGGACTGCGCCTAACAAAGCTACCTTGCATCTGGGAAGCCAGGTCTGATCAACCTGGTGTACCTGCTTTTGAGAACCTAAGTATGGCAAAAGCTGTCTCATTCACATTCTTTGTTGTGCAGTAAGCGGCTAATGCAGCGGCGACTCACCTTGGAGTGTTTGGACCTTTGGAGCTCCACGGATTTGCACGACCCGTCGTCACCCTGTCGCCGCCGTTCGCCCTCGTGTTCATAGGTTTTGGAGGCCTCAAACTTACCACCTGGAACCTTAGGCGGTTTTACTTAGGCTGGCGTGTGGCGCCGCTGTCAAGTCAGTACGCATATCCATAAGTGCGTCTGGCCTCGTGCCAGTCCGGGATGAGCCCGTAGAGTGCCTCCCGTGGACCCGTCGAATGGGTGTCTGTCGTTATCTCCCCTGCCCGGAGATGTAAGTGCCCATAGCGGGCGTAGGTGGCCTAGGCCGAGAGAACTCAGATTTTTGTCTCATCTTTGGAATTCCAAGCTGGCTTATGCCTTTACGTGACCGCAGCGGTCAAAGCAGCCAGCCACATTGGCACGGCGTACGTGGCTCAAGGTTCATTGGAACCTGTCGCGAGCTTAGTCCCCCCCCTTCCCTTTCCCTCCCCCTTTCTTTCTTTGCTTTTTGGGGTTGTCCTGAATGGAATACTCAGGATCACCCCTCTCTTTCTTTGGTGTGTCCCTGGACGATTGTTCGTAGCTGGGAACACCTGCCTTTTCCTTTTCTCTCCTCTCCCTTTCTCTCCCTCTCTCTTTCTTTCTTTCTTTCTTTCTTTCTTTCTTTCTTTCTTTCTTTCTTTCCTCTCTTCACCCTCCTTGGGTGTCCCTGGATGCTTTTGTCATAGCTGAGAACCCTTCTCCTTCTTTTGGTGTGTCCTTGGACGCTTGCGTCGTAGCTGGGAACACCTTCCTTTCTTCCCTTTCCTTTTCTGGGTTGCTACTTGGGGCTCCTGGCCTTTCTACTAGTTGCCAGGTTGCTACTTTGACGCTACTCGAGGTTTCTGGCCTTTCTACTTTGTCCGCGCCTATCGAGGACGTACGTCTTATCGACGGACTGAGTCGCAAACATGAGAATTGGACTCTACGAATGGCCGATTGGTTCAGTTTGAGGGATTCCGGAATCGTCCAGAGGCCTCCCTTTGGGGAGGCGTGTGTGTGTGTGCCCCTTGTAGTCACAGGGATCCTGTCGGACTGTACCAATTTTTCTCGTTTTTCAGCAGGGGGGGCGGAGCAGATGCAAGGGACTGCGCCTAACAAAGCTACCTTGCATCTGGGAAGCCAGGTCTGATCAACCTGGCGTACCTGCTTTTGAGAACCTAAGTATGGCAAAAGCTGTCTCATTCTTTGTTGCGCAGTAAGCGGCTAATGCAGCGGCGACTCACCTTGGAGTGTTTGGACCTTTGGAGCTCCACGGATTTGCACAACCCGTCGTCACCCTGTCGCCGCCGTTCGCCCTCGTGTTCATAGGTTTTGGAGGCCTCAAACTTACCACCTGGAACCTTTGGCGGTTTTACTTAGGCTGGCGGGTGGCACCGCTGTCAAGTCAGTACGCATATCCATAAGTGTGTGTGCGTGTGTCTCCGCGCCGTTTCGACACGGGAATCGTGCGTGTGCAAACACGGCATGTCGCTGGTGAGCAGGATGGTCTGTGGTGTCAACAGGGCTTGGTGCCGCATGTGACAACCTTAAACAACACCTGAGAATGACACATATGAGAACAAACATATGAGAGCACAGACATGAGAGAAGCACACATATGAATGAGGGCACACTTGAAGAGCACAAATATGAGAATATCTGGGGCTTGACATTGCCACGCAAAAGTTCCTGTAGGCTTCATAGTGTCATAGTGGCCAATCATACTTTCACTCACTCTGTTCCACTTCCATCATTCTTTTGCACATCTTCTTCCCATCTCTCACCTCTTCACTTCTCACATCCTCAAGTCTTTTCTATCTATCATATCTTAGCGCATATCTCCTAACATCTCTCTCCGCTCTCGGCAAGCCCTACATCTTTACAAATCAATCTTCTCTGGGTGTGCTAAAACTGACCGTGCGCTGTGACTTTTGTATTGCTAGCAGCGAGCAGCGCAGCTACGCCACACAGTGATCTTGGCATGTGCATCATACACCAGCTCTTCAAATTGGCAAAAGCAAAACAAAGGTAATCACAAACTGACAAACAGTCGTCAAGCACTACTAAATGCAGCAAGGCTCAAATGCCTGTCATGCCCCCGGGCTGAATCTCCTGCCTTCCTTGCTGCTGCCAGCACTGGCTCTGTCAGAATGGCCGGCACATCCCTTGTGCATTCCCCGCATGCCTCCACAAGTCGTGTGACGCTTGGGCAAGTATCACGTCACTTGCTTGGGCCGCCTTCACCGCTTGGAAGGCATTCTCCAAATTTGGCCGGTCAACTCAGCCAGGGCTTCAAGATGCTTCAACTTATATGGGAGTTGATCTAGGTTCCTTTATCCGGGATTCGTCATTTTCGCAAAAAGAATTACTTTAGCCAAACTTTCGCCTTCCTGCGTTTTATCTTTCGCCGAAGTACGTTGTATTTATGTGTGCCATGTATGTTGTGTTTTGTTCACGTCAATGGTTTCTTCTTTACTGGCAAACAAAAAATAGAAACTTCACTGTTTGTCAGCATGTGTCTTCTACTTAACTGTTGACACCCTGTACCTCTCTTTTGTTTCTCCTGGGTGTCAGCAAGAATCAAAATTGCAAGAATCACTGTAGTAGCCGGTCACTCAAACTTACTCATAATGGGCTGGGGGTCAGATGTGGCAGGGTGAACTTTCGCCAATCTTGAGCTGAACTTTCGCCAAACTTTCGCCTTTTGTGGGGTAGAGTTTTTTGGCAAAGCCACCCCCCCAAAGCAGGAGCAGGAATAGTAGTAGTAGTAGTCGTCGTCGTCGTCGTCGTGGTGGTGGTGGTAGTAGTAGTAGTAGTAGTGGTGGTAGTGGTAGTGGTAGTGGTAGTGGCAGTCGTAGTAGTAGTAGTAGTCGTCGTCGTAGTAGTAGTCGTCGTCGTCGCCGCAGCAGCAGGTTATCTTACTTCCACAGCTCATCTAACTTCTGAGTCACTGCCACTAGCTGTTCAGGAAGCAAATGAACATTCATACAAAAGTACATATTTAATCTTTTGCCAGATCTTTCGGGAAAAAAAAATTATATATATATATATACTTTCGCCAACTCGAGAAAAAACTTTCGCCAAATGAGATTTTGATATGTTCCGGGTCATCGTCATACACAATGCTGTCTAGGACCTTTAGATCCACAACCATATACCAAAAGGTAACTGGAAAATGCACTGCACCAACGAGGTTTGGGCAAAAAACTGCGATGTGGAAGATGGAAACCTGAAGCTCCATGCGAGTTCAGGATGGCTAATCGATACTGGCATGGAGAGCCCATGAACCCCGAGGCTTCAACGCATGCAAGTGATGCAACACCAAGAAGGAACTCAACATTGGACAAAAGGCTCCATGGACCTCGCAGCCGCTACAAAGCGGCAGAAAAATGTTGCTCAATGCCTTTTTGTGGCATCCACGGAGCAACAAAGCGCAAAATCTCCGAACACATTGCAAACACCCCTTCGTTCAAAGTGGGACGTCCTCCCAGGCTCAACTCCAAATCCACTGCATCAATCCTGCAGAGCGAAAAGCACCGTTTTTACAATGCCGTTTGAAAAAGATGTGGCAATGAATGCATTTGTACAGAACCGATAATCTTCATGAGTTCCGAGCACCGAGACTGCCCCAATGAAGCCCAACACCTTAACAATTTGCGTCTCGGACCCAAACAATCTGTGGGAGACTGAGAATCCAACAACAGTGAAGAAGCCGGTGTTTGCCCAAAACACAAGCGAGGGGTCTTGACCTCAAAAGTGCACCGGAGTCGTGTTCCACATGGCCGGATTGATCAATGTATGTTCAAAGTCTGAGTTTGCCGCTAAAGACCTTCAAGTGCCCAAAGCCTTGCCATCCCCAAGGCTTTTCAATGAGCAAAAGTAGAATGGCACAAAGAACCTATTCACTTTCCAGTCTCAGATCATGACAAAAAATGATCGTCAGCATGCCCGATAAAACAAACAAAGGCCACCTGATCAGCACATGCGTGCAATTTGGGGAGCCATGCACATACTCAACGGCCAAGTGCAGTGCGCTTTTTGAATTTCTACCATTGAGGCAAGGAAGCTATCCCTCAGCAGAACGTCCACACTGCTTGGCACACATGTCATGACAACCTCAGAAGCACTCAGGCCATGACAATCCAAATCTGAAAGCCAAGCGGTTCAAGTTTGCAAGCCTGGATGAATCCTGCGGAAAAATCACACGCAGCCCAAAGCTACATCAACACATGCATAGCAACGGCTCCGTAGGGAAGCACACTTTGTTTGCCACAGCAATGCTTGGATAATCTGGCTCATCGCCTGCGCAAACTACACCCAGAAGCTCCCGCAAATGCTCCAGATTCAAGCTCCAGCTGTTGTTGCCAATGCTCACTCCAGCAGGGCAAATTGTGCTTGGCCACTTCCAAGTGTTTTGTGTTTTATTGGGAGTAAGTAAGCATGGGTAAGCTGGGCCCTTTCACCCTACAGGCCACCCCACCGGGCCCAAGGTCGGTGTGTTGGAATTTTCCCAGATCAATTCTATCACTCTAGGTCTGCCGCTGTGTGGGCATTGTCCGGCAGCTAGCTGGCCCTCAATGCCTCGGTCAAGTAGGGATCGGCCAAGCTCGGCAATTCTCGCGCCACCGACGTTCATTTATAGATGCGCACTTCTGCGCAGTGGCCGTTGAAACTCCTGTGTCACTTTCTGCACTCCCTCCCTCCCCTAGCCACCTTTGACTCAGCCTCACTCTCTCTCTCTCTCTCATTTGTTTTCTGTTTCTGTCCGCAGGCTTGCACTTGGGATGACGGTGATCCAAATGTCCGAGGATGACACTCAGAGGGCACTGTGAGACACACACCTTACTGGCTCACATACACAAAGTCTACGACGGCTTCTCGGTACCCGACACCCCTAAAGAGAAAAGGGATGAGCACAAAACACCTTGGGGCTGAGCCAAGTCAGAATAGCTTGGTGACTGGGACTAGGCGGCCAGGACAAATTACAACGTCTTCACGGATGTGCAAGACTCCGAGGCAAAAGCCGGGCACATGTACAGATATGGCATTGTGGCCTCAGCACCGCATGCAAAGTTCAATGAGCAGCCCGACTTTTACCTGGGGGCCATGCCACTGGCTCGCTCACTCCACAAATCAACCTTGACTGTTGGCAGCGAGCATGACAATATTATCATACTCTTGGGGAATCTGAGCACCGCGCCCATTGCCGTTTGGAAGCCCGGTCCTTGAACTCTGAAGTCAAAATGTCTCAAGGTATTGCGTCACATGGGAAAATGCGCGCACTATCTACAGTAAGTGCTTGGCAGCTCGAGCAAGTTCCCATGATCTACAGCATAGTAATAGGCCTCGGAAAGCCATCTGAAGGCGTTTGATCTATACACACGTGCGACGCATCATCGTTGCTTCGCAACCACTGCAGCTTTTGCTGGAGGGCTTTTTGCTCTAGAATCCTGCTCTAGGATCCAGCGTGAATTGGTTAGATGGCTGCCAGAAGTCTGCGCGGTCTCCGACACAAAGTGTTGCGATATCACTGAGCATTAGACCCAAATCAAGAAGCCAAAGCATCCAAGGAAAGGCAAAATCCAAAAAGCATCCGTGCCTGAGCCATTGTTGTGCGATTGTTGTGTCATTGTTGAAAAAACTCCGTGAACTACCCCGAACGCCAAGTCCACCACATGAACGCCCGACATCTTCAGGCCTCCAAGAACGGAGTACTCTGGTCAAAAATGGGGAACATGGTGCAAGTAAGACGTTGAGGTGCACAAAAACCGGCTAAGCCACTGGCTTTTCAGACCTTGATGTGTGAATTTCCATCAGAATCATTCTAACCCCCAAGAGACGCGAATGAAGCTGGGCGCAAAGCATCTCTGACCTTGCCAGGAGACGGGTTGCATCTTGATTGGGAAAGATTGCAAAACCCTTGCATACAGATTTGGGTGCTGAGAATCTGAGAACATGGACCAGAGTTGACCAACGAAAACTCGGCTTCAGATCTGGCTGTATTCCTCTGGAGCCAAAGGATCTCCCCTGTCCAAGAGTGAAGCAATCTTTGATCAGTACATGATGTGCATGTTTGTTTGTGTGTGTGGGTGGGTGTGTGGGTGGGGGGGGGCTTCCTTTTGCTGCCGTCACAGTCTCGCGCCCTGGCATCGACTAGTGAACATACACGCGTGGAGTCACGCTGCCCCTCAGCATGAACAAAACACCCCCGTTCCCTGGGAGACACGCCAAATATATACAGTAAGTGTAACAGATTTGCTCTTGCATGTTGTGCCGCACGAGACTTGCGAGTGATTCATCCACATTGATTTGTCGTGCCCCAGGGTTGTGCACTCTCGCAGTGCAGCCCCATGTTCGCCGGCCAGCATGAGCATGTTGCCTAGGACAAGTCTGGCAAGTTTCACAATGCAAAGGGTTCTTTCCCCAAAAGTCAACTGATCAGCCCACCTCGAAACACATCCAATAACGTTCTCTCACCAATCCAGCTTGAGTCGAGCAAGCTGCTCCTGTGCCAGCTGCACCTTGAACACTGAAGCACGACATGACATAACCCAAACCAATCACCGATCACCCTTGAATTGTGATATGCTCAAGCATGCTCAAAGTTGCGACCGTCAATATCCAAGAGACATTTCAAACACAACCTTTTGCAAGTGCTCTCACCTACAAGTATCAGTTCAGGACCTCAGTGGCACGTCTGACAGCACTGAAGAATGTCTCTCCCTGCTGGGACGTGCGGATCTCAGTGCAAAGGGTTTAAATTGCTAGTATGCTCTCACCAGCGAATCCCTTAGCCGTGCGCCATCATTGTGGCAGAACTATCCTGCACTGAAGGCTTCTTGCACCCTGCATCACCAGTGCATCCTGTGAGGTGTCCAAGCTGGGTCGAAATGAATTTCTTTGATGCTGAGGACCTGGTTCTTGTCATAGATCACTACCTCTGGCCCATCTCCAGGATTGATTTCAATGGAGTCGTGCCCAGATGCTTTAAGCTTTTGATACGTCCAAGGGATGTGCTCATCTTGACGTCCACCACAGTATCTGCAGCATGGAAACTTCTTCATGCGTCCCACGTCCACCTTGACTTCCAACATGCAGCCGATGCCAGAGTGTGGGGTGATAGCCTTGGTCTTCGTGGCTTGGGGCGACAGGGCGAAGTATATCGCTCCACCACACCATCCAGAATGTCCGATATTGAAACCAGTTCGGATAATGCTCCGGCAAGCTTCTGGGCTTGTCTGATGGTATAGAGTCATCACCTGGCGGCCATGTTCACTCGTGGCAGGGGGGGGCGGTTGCATGAGGGATCATCTTCTCTGGGCAGCATCCAAGGTACATTCCATTGGCCGTGGGGCAGCAATCTCCATGCAATCCTCTGCAAGAAGGAATGGCAGAGCAAGCAGCTGCAGATGTGGGTGCCGGAGCCGGCGCGGCCCTGCAGCGTGCATCGTAGTCAGAGCAACAGTTGCGATAGCCATGACATTTCGAGTTGCATTGGCAACTCCGGTACCGACTGTAAGATGCCCCACAACCATACCTGGCACAAGAGCCCCAGGTCTCGGAGGAGTTGTCGAACTCCTGTGCAACTGACTTCTGTAACTGCAAGGCGCTGATTGCGCAGGAATCAGAGTTCACACATTCATCATCCCCTGCTAGGACGTGCACCTCACTACCCTCACTTGTAGCAATCGCCAGTCTCACTGTCCAAAGGAGCAGTGCTACTGAATGAACAGGAAACATCCTGACAAGGGAAGTAGAAGCAAATTTCTTGATGTGAAAGAGGCTGCGGGGCCGCAATCTCGCTGCCAATGTCGGATTAAAGTGACCATCAACTCAATGGTCCCAAACCAAATTAAGTAAAAGTGCTTTAAAATCTTTAAGGTTCCAGCGTCCTTTCGAGCCTCAGCTTCTGAATGTGATCCCTAAAGAACGTTGCAAAAGCGTTGCATACTAGCTTTATCTGCAAGCCAGCCTTGGCACGGCGATAGAAAATCTCACAATCCCGGTTCGAGCAAATCACCGGCTCCAGCAAGCTTCCTCCCAATAGCTACAAGTTACAAGTGCTCAGCAAGAATGGCAACCAAGCGCGACTACGACATTGAATTCCTTGGCAGCGTTGGCATTGGGTCCACAGGCGGCTGAATTCTTCCTCTTTCTGCCGGAAGTTCTCCATCTGCTCAATCACTACCTTGGAGTTTGCAGCACCTTCCCACCTTCTATAAAATGGCCAGCACAGTCCCAAGATCACCACATCAGCCGCCTTTTCCTTTTCGCAGTGCTCGCATAGCAAGCCAGCTTTGATGACAGCCTCACATGGGCATAGCACAACGCCCCAGGCCCTGCCCTTGTACACCCTCACCACTTCACCCAGCCTTGCAACCCATACACCGCAGGCTCTTCGTCACAAACTTGGCCAATGCGCCGCCTGTGCAGGAGTTAGCCACAGCTTGCGCAGCACGATGAAACTGGCCATGAAAAGAAATCCCGATCAAGGCTGTCCTGACATCAGGTTAAACACAAAAAAACACCAGCCTTGTGGGGTTGGTGTGTGCAGCTTTCTCGTGTGTTGGCCGCAGAACAGGAGGGACTGGGCTTTCTTATCATCGCCTGGCAGGGGCATATCTACTTAAGTGCGAACTACCCAGCTACCCGTGCAATCAAACAAAAAACTTTCACGAGGAGCATGATAGACAATGGCATAACCACAAAACCACAAGATTGGCCACAAGAGTGTAAGGCAGTCACAGTCCTCTCTGTGTCCAACCATGTGTGTGTGTATCGTTTATGATTTGTGAGGGTTGGCTAAATCACAGCACTTGCAGTAATGAGGACTCTAGAGGAAGGGAAAAGAAGAGAAGCTCACCCCAATTGGCAAAGAAAGAGTATAGTATACAGTATAGCGTTTCAAAGTCTTCTCCAATCACCTGAATGCTAAATATGACGTCTCAAAAAATGGTGCCAGGTAAGTCTCCAGCTTTGAGGGCGTTTGTAGGGTGCGGCAAAGCGGTGTGAAGCGAGCTAGGAGTCATGGCGAAGCAGGAGCAAGGGCGGCGTATGGGTGGGAATGGCAGGCACAAAGATTTGCAGGTGTTGGTTGGCCTATGGTGACTATGGTGGGGTATATTTGTGGGCTCGCTTGGATTCGCTGGTGATGCACAAAGCTGCCATTGAGATTTGAGATGTGGCGCTGTCTTTTCTGCATCATCTGGTGGCTTGCTGCTGTTGTTGGGCAGCGGATGGTGAGTGGTGGCCCTCCGTGGTCCTGAGGTCTTCATGAGAGATTTTTGCAAGAGGTGCGCAGGTAGAGGAATTCTCGATTGGTTCACCCGAAGACCGTCAAAACACGTTGGAGGACATTGACGCTAATCTACTCATCGACTCATTTGACTTCACGGTTGTGCTATTGTTTCAGAAATGCATCTTAGGTACCCATGATTGGACCAAATATTCGAAGGAGAGGAAGCTGAAGCTGATGCTCGATGTAATATTGGGCATCCACTGATTTGTTGTTCCTTGGTGCTCACGACTTTCTTGCACGTCCAGAACCTATGATGCAATCAAGTCTGCTAAGCCAGCATGCTCCAGTGCATACAGCGGATCCTCGCTCCTCTCATAAGCCTCAACCAAAAAATGCTGTTATAGTCGTCTATATAATTACTTATAGCTCTGTAGCCGTGGGAAAGTGCAGTACATCAGCACATCCGTACCTTGGCACCTTTGGAGCCGGTAACAATGACGTAGGGCACTCGATCTCCGCTTCCTGGTGCAGTTGATGGATCCCGCCTCGGCTCCACATCGGTGACGCCAGCTGGCTGCGTCGTGACCGGTCGTGGTTAGAGCTAAAGCTGGAGTACTTATTGGCCTTCACACCAATCTGCTTTTACTGCTCGACAGCTTACACTGGGAATGAAGCTTCCTCATGCGCTCTGCCAGCTCCACATGAGCTTGTTTGGCAGCATAGTCCTGCACCCAGGTGATGATGCTCAAAGCCCAGCCATGCTATGATGCTGCGACTCTCCTCTGCATGGGCACCTCTTCCTAATGACCTGAACAGAGTTTCTTAAGGAATGCTGGGACTCTGACAAGAGGTTCTGACCAAAAAATGAACAGAAAGGGAAACATGGTGTAAAGTGAGACCAAATGCAAAAGGAAAAAACAAATGATCAGAACTTGTTGTTCATCTGGAGCTGCTTTGTGATGACAAGCAAGGAAAGATCGATCTTGTTCTGCAGCAGGTCCGACACCTAAGGCGCCGTCAAACGCGACACGATGACGACGAGTCTCCTGCCCTTCGGAGCCCTTCGGAACCCTTCAGGGCTCTGGCCGCTTTCTGCACAAACTCCACAGCCTCACCATGGCAACCCAAGAATTGCAACATTATCTACAACAGAACGGCAGGCTCCAATGTCTTGCTTTCTTGTTAATTCTTTGTTTTTTTAAGGGAGGCGGAGGCCGTAGATGTAGCTAGTAGGAGCTAGGTAGCTAGTAGCTTAAGTAGCTACTACTTAGGACGCAGGATAGCTCACGCTTCTTCAAGGAGCCCCCCCCCGGCCGCCCTAAAGGCGGAGGGGGAAGCTTCCTCGAAGAAGCGCTCGCACTGATCATGTGATTCCTGGATTTTTTGGGAAACTTAACATTAGAAGCTACAATTTGCCGTTTGGTCTTTCTTGTTCTGTTTACTCCTTTCTCTTTCAAGACCTGTCTATTCTCCTTGGTCTTGCTTCCTTTTGTCAAGGTAAGGTGGCCACTTTGGGGACTGATTTATCAATCAGGATCGTTCTCAGCGAAATGTCCACCAGTTGACGCACAAGGCCACCTTAGCTCAGAGCAATGCCTGATGGATTGAAACAATGACAAGCGCAGGAGCAGAGGCTTCTAAACTTGTATATCTATAAAATGTCCATAATATATATTATATATAAAGTGCAGCTTGCCCGCAGTTGTCCCGTCGCACTGTCTCAATGCCCTTTGCATCCAACTTGTCGTAATTGTGAGGATTGGTCCAGTACAAACCAGCGTAGCGCCTCGGGAATTGCACACCTAGCCAAACAACATCCCACTCTCTCTCGTCCCCTCCCCTATCTTCCAATGTGCCAGACTAAGCTTTCTGCTTTTTGTTCATCAGCAAATATGGACAGTAAACCTTCTCAAACTCTAACTTGATGGGTTTTGTGAAGGTGGCACTGACCATTTCCTTAGCTGCACGCCCTGCTGTGGGGCGCCGCCATAAGGGAAAAGGGACTCAGGAACGATCCGTCTGCCAAACAGCCAAGCTGCAGCAGCTTCCTGGCCCAAGCGCATCGCCTCCGCAACATCGTCAACTCCGAATTTCACCATCACCTGGCAGCAGGAGGAAGGCCAGAACCGGAATGAGCCAAAATGATATTGTGCAATGGTTCTAGTTCTAGGTTATAGTACTACGATCTTTTGCAATTGGGACAGAACAACAAGGAAAAAAACAAACCATCGGCAAACGGCCGCACGGAACAAAAAAGAAAAGTAAAGCGACAGGAAAGGCAAGGGCAAAGCGGAAAGCAAGAGAAGATGGATAGAAACATGTCAGGAAAAGGCAACAACAGCCACGCGGCCTTGTCAGGAACCTTAAGGTTTTAGATGGTTTTAGATAATGATTGAATTGAGATCATGCAAGAGTCCGAAACTTTGTGCTTTTGCAGCTTTTCTGGAATCGATCTGCACAGGCATGTGTCAGTTCATACTGTAAAATGTGGGGCTTTGAAAAACAAGTGCTAACCTGCTAACCACATGCAAATATCAGTTGAAATTGGTTGTTGCCAATCGATTCCGCGGCCCCGTCGATTTTCACCCGTTCGCATTGCGACAGAGTTAGCAGACAGCTGCACAACCATCGCAGAACGACCAGTGGCAAGTCTTCTAAGCATTCTCACCGCACAGCCGTTCCCAGCTTCAACAGAAAGTCCAAGTAATGACCAGGGACAATGAAACCAAACCACCCAAGTTCAAATCCCTCCTTGTTCACGTCAAAGCTGAATGGCTTCGGCGGCAAAACACGGACATTATTCAATATGCTTACACTGACATCATTACCCCCACCCCCACCCCACCCCAGAAAAACGTAACAACTATGTAATGGTGATTGAAGCTTCAACAATTTCAGCAAGCCCCGAAACAAGAACTGAAGGTGATCGAAATTTCAAAAACAAGGTTCAAATGTCGCCGGCAGCAAGAACAAGAGTAAAAGGAGAGGCGAGAGAAAGGCACGAGCCAAACCCAAAGCAAAACCATGAGGAAACTCACTGTTCCTGGGTCCAGGGTTGGAGAATTCCACGCAACTGCCATTCGCTATCTGCTCATTCTGCAACAGTGAGGCAGTATGTTGCGCAAAGATGGGGGTTGCAAACGCTTGTGGATGTTTAGTAGTGACTCAGCGCCGTTCTATGGACTGTGCACATCCCTGACGAAAACAGCAAACAAAATCAAACAAGCCACACAAATGGGTGCTTCACAAGTGGCCAAGGCACGGAGTCGGTATCACCATAAATGACCTGAGCATCGTGAGGATAGCCCTTTTCAATGCAGTAGTTGGCCTTCGCAGCGTGGTGTGGATGATGGCTTTAGAACTCGATTCAACATAGTTCCTTTGGGGCAAACTCTTGCCTCCACCATCTGCTTTGTGTGGTCTATCATCGTTCGCCCGAAAGCCGTCACGCTGGAGGAGATATCTAGGCAGGGCAGTACGCCAACCGTGGCACCTGCACGACACCAAAGACAGTGTATAACGCCTGACATTCAAGGCATTGAATGTCTACAATTTGGGAATGCCTGTGAAGCCATACACCGAGTTTGCAGATACTTTCAGAGCAAGCCTGGGTGGTGAGCCGATGTCACTTCGCAACATGACAAAAAATCCGCCCGCACAAAAGGTGCTGGGGCGTGCGTATCCGGATGGCATAGTCAATCGCAAAATTTCAGCTTTAGCTGGGGAGGGGCCCATTATCGGGCAAGAAACCTTGTTGAAATCGAGTGAGAAAAAATAGAACGTCGTAAATAATTGCATGTGATAAAGGTTTTGGGACACGCAAATGTTTGAGGCGTTCTGGAAAAAGTTTTACTGTAATTTAAAAAAATGTTAGCCAGGTAGAACCAGCATAAACAAACATCAGCGGCTTCACGGTACGGCTCTAGCTGGCTAGGGGTTCGTTTTAGCCAGGTAGTCTCGGGATGGTAGGACACCAGTCCAACTATACATATATACTAGACTACTGGCCTGCTGATACCATGGCAAACTAGGAAAGCAAAAACAACAGCAAAATAGTTGAAAGGCTGTAGCTGGGTTCAGCAGATAGCTCTCCGGTGTGGGCGGACCCAGCCGCGTAGTGGGGCGAATAGCCCTTCTTCTTGACAAACGACTAGCCTCGCGGTGTTGGAAAATGTTGAAACTTAATGTGCGGCCCAGAGTCTGTCTGCCATTCAGAACAGACTTCGTGAGCGGATCCGTCGCCTCTGCCATGGCCTGGAGTCTGAAAGCTTTCATGAAAAGCAGTGCAAATGACGACAGCATTGGCAAAGCCCCGCGAAAAGCTTTGCATTGTACCTTTTTAGCTCTCTTTCTGGCAGCCAGCAGCTCTTCCAGAATCATGGGAAGCAGCCCGCGTCGCTTTGAGCTTTTCAGGAAGAAACCTTGCTCAGTTTTGATGGAACCGTCCAGCTGTCCAGCTGATCTCTAAGGCAGGAAACAGCCGCTAGGTGTCTTTGTGTACTCATCTGGCTGAAGATCTCTGACCTGCAAAAAACGCACTAAGTGGGGCACAGTACACACCACGAAAGTGGGGCCTGCTCTGGTTTGAGAAGGGTGCAGTAGCAAAGATTGTGCGCCATCATGATGGAAGGATACCTGAAGCCAAAGAAGCAGCCTCGAAAATGGTTGCTACCATGCATGATGAAAATAGACGGCCACTGTAAAAAGTATATAGATGACATTTGCAACAGCGATTGCATTTAGCATGTTCCCTTGACTGTATAGAGGCGAGGTGACGAGTTGAGGGCCGAAGACTTGAAAAGGACTTGGTGAACTACTGGGAACAGCGCAACGCTGAGAAGAGCTGTGGGCTGAAGCGGCATGGAGTGAGATGAGGTAAACCGAGGAAACTGAAAAAGTGACAATGAGAAGAAATGAGATGCAACCTAGGGAAGGTGAAGAGCTGTTGTGTGATGCGAGCAAGGAGAGGCCCCGGGGCGAGACAAAACCCATCATGATCAGAGACTGACTGAAATCAATTAATTAAGAGACTGGATGTGGATGTGCGGTGTGGTGCTGTGAGACCACGGAAAACGAGACCAAGCGAGGCCAAGAAGAGTCATTGAGGTAGCTGATGCATGCTGTCACGCAGCTAAGCATGGCGTACATCATGGACTTGTGGAAACTCGTGCAAGTTGCAGGAGCAAAACAGGAACGGAGAACACAGCAACAAGCAGCTCACTATTTTATCCTAGACAGCCAAGTTGCAGAGATGCGAAGTCCAAAGTTGCGATTGGCTGTGGGTAGTATCCTGCACAGTTCCAAAGGCATGTTGCTGCTCTGGAAATGGTGCATTGTGTCCTGTCAATGGGTCCAAGACCGTTGCACCCTCAAACTTGTCGTTGGAAGCTTCTGTCTTCCTCAGCCCACATTACGCGAGCGCTGTCGATTCATGTTCCAAGTGGCAATGAGGCGGAGAAGTCTTTGACTGGGCTCCAAACGGCAGAGTAGGCATCACAAAGCCACACTGTTGTGCCTTCCGAAGAAGCTGAGACCTCAATACACTTTCCAAAGAAGTAAATCCTTACGGGCCCTTTTCAGATTGAAGTCATCATCAACGCAATTAAAAATACAAAACACACCTTTCGCGTGCTTGCCTAAGGCTTCAGCTGGACTTTGATCATCTGCCCCCGATTGAGCAAAAAGTTGATCGGAGTGCCAGTCACACGGGCCATCTCCACATAGTTGTACCTAGATACCATCATTCCGGCAGCAACAAGTAGAGCGAAACCAGTCGCAAAATCAAATTGCGCACATGCACAACAGCTTCTCCATCAAACGCATTGGAAGGTAGGCATCCTGCTGGGCTCGGCCAGTGCAACAACATGCAACAACTGATTTCCGAAGAATCTGGAGTAGGCCACTCTCGGGAGGATCCCGCTTTCACACCAAACCCCGAATGCCGATGAACTTTATAGTTGATTCCATCATCTGGAAAATCCTTTAGATGGTTTGATATTGACTCAGCCCTTCGTAAAGACCAAAGTTTGACGACCTCTGGGGGACACATTCGCCTTTGGCAGTGTGGGATAACGAGCAATTGTTGAAAATGTGCTTTGAAGCCAATTGACACATCAAGTTGCCAGGCAAAGCAAAATAGGTGAAGTTGTGCAAGAGAATTTTACTGCTCAGGTTCTATCATCACCCGCCTTCAAGCAGTAAATGGCCAAACGTCGTCGACTCTCAGCACTTCCGAGGAAGAGGTCGCCAATCATGCTATGGTGCACATCCTCACCAAAATGCGATTGAGCTGCTGGATGCCCTCACCGAGCCCTGAAACAACTGGACCAGTCTCCTCTTTTTGTTCGCCCAAAAACTCCGCCGAAACTGCGTTCAAAGAATATGAGCTCAACTTTTGCTCCTGAGGCAGGTGGCAATACGTGTAAAGAACTACTGGAAACAACCGAGGTAGCATAAGAACAAGAGTAAAGCAGAGCACATGCACACCGCATGCAGTAGTTTTGACGCAAAGACGGGTTGGGAAGACAATTCCCCTCTACAGTCGACAGCTACCGTCGACAGCGCTCGTTTTAGCCGACGGGAGCTGATTCAGAACATGAGATGCGTTGTCGGTTGGCATCAAGACACGCTGCGTGTCAAAATGGTTTGCTTACATAGAGTTCTCACTTTGAAATGCGCAATCCTCCCACCCGTCACACAGCCATTGCAATGTTTTTTGAAACCCTTGGTTACTTGGTTCCATCTTTCAATGTCACCACACTAGCATCAACCTCCCGCCACCAGCACTTCATTCTGCGCAAAAACTTGGTGCCCCCTGCAGATCCATAGCGTTCGCACGGATCCTATTCGTGCACGCATCTGATCATCTACGCTTGTATGCAATCGAGAACAATCAATCCAGAACCACAAACGAGTTCCTGTCCCATTGGTTATCGAAAATTCTGACATGTAATGTACTTCACTAATTCTGCAATCTGGAATGCAAGGCCAAAACAGGGCTGCTCTGTTTTGTGGAAGCTTGCGCGGCGCTATCATTTACGGAACAACCATTCAGACCTGGGTGAGCAACAACCTTGAGTCTCGAATCCACTGGTTTTCTGTCTAAATAGCATTGCACCATACCATGATTGAAGGTCAAGCCAAAAGAATCTTCATACAGGCATACATTGAGCGACGTGCAAAACCTCTTATGTGTTGTAGTGCGCACTCTTCCCAACGTTATCGTTTTTTCTGTGAACCTAATCGTTCCTGAGGGTTTGGACACACCTAACAACATGTACTAAAACCTTATCTTTTTTTCTGTGAACCTTATCGTTCCTGAAGTTTTCCTTCACTTTACTTACTTAGTCTTCACTGTAGTGATGCTCTCTTCATCGGAGGTTTTGGCAGTTGCTCACATACAAGTTCTTCTGCCCTATCTTACATGATCTGTGAACTCTTTAGTCACTTTGCGGAGGCTTGTGGTTTGTGTGACACTCAAAGGGCCACAGGTACAAAACAGTAGAGCTTCAAAAGAAAGAAGCAGTTCATGGCTTGGATAAGCACAAACACGAGGACGACAATCATGAGCCAGCTATACACATGCTGCACTTCCTTCTGGATCACCGCAAGCATATCAAAGTTGATTCGTCCATCAATGTTGATCTCAATTGATTCTCGGCCGCTGAAGTTGTTGACTCGTTTGCGGCCTCGGGCCACAAAGCATGGAAGAGTTTTACAGTGTGAGCCTGCTTGAACTGAGCTCGTTGCATCTGTCATTTCTGAGCCGTCCTAATTTGCAAAAGTCTGTATTGATGTTCTTTACTTCCGAGCGGTCCACGAGGTACGGCCTGAAGAGCAGCAGCCGAGTCGCTGAAGAAAACTGAGAGCAATCCGTGAAGAGCAAAACTCTGAGGAATGTACAAATCAAAGTTGACAATGTTGTATCCAGTGATCACATCTGGGTCAGTCTCCTGAAAGCAAAAAGCTTGTCTTAGAGGGTGGCGCTTAGAAACTGCCCTGCGAAGAGAGAAGCTACAAGCTTGGTTTGACCCTCTTTCTCATGTTCTCTGCAAGTATGTCATTAGGGTATCCGATGTATGCTGTAAAAGCAATGACCACGGCCTTTGAAGAAGTATATACACAAGCACGGCAGGTATGGCAGTGAGGCAGAAAATCAGTGCCAGCTGCGTGGGCCATGTGAAAATCGAGAACACGCGATCGTTCAGTGAGGTGTGCGCCTCCACAAAAAACTGAACAAAGGGATGTGCAACGTTCATTCCGAAAGCCAAGCGGTTCATAGCTGCAAGCCACGGCCTGCATGGCCTGGTAGGAGTTTTCACACGACAGCCCTCACATAGGAAAGCAGTTCCCACTGCCAACGCTGCTTGCCAAACTCCTGTGGTCAGCAGCTTTTGTTGCTGCAAGCCTTCCAAGTGCTCCTTGAGGATCTGTTCGCCCCAGCCTCCACGGGAAATGCCATGGACCAAAAGCGCGATGAGCATGAAGCAAGCACCAAGCACACGCAAGTGCCGCCATTTGCCACTCAAAGGCTGGCAAGCAAACCCAAGACTGCAAAGCACTAGCATCTGAAGAGCAATGCCACGAGAATGATGCACCCACCACACATCGACAAAGTCAGTCCTACTGAAGCCAAACGCCAGAACGACGGCGAATATGCTTAGAGCGCAAGGTCGGCCAAGGGCAAGGATACAGGTTGTCAATGTAAATGCTTGGATTTCCAGCTGAAAGTTCCACAGGTTGACACATGGATTACCATTTCCTGAATACCAATCACTGTCACCATCCTGCAGCAGCAGGGCCCCAACATCGCCCAACAGGAAGGAGTATCGCCACTTTCGGTTCATACACTTTCCGGTCGCATGATACCACCGAATGCCAAACCAAGGGAAAGCGTGATTGTAGGGATTGTAAGGAACACTTGGAAGGACAAAAAGATAAAACCAGCTCCAAAAAAGGCAAACCGGTAGCTGTCGCAGGTATTTGTTCCAAGACCGTAGAAGTCCCTTCCGAAGCCGAGAGAATGCAGACGTATTGGGTTTTCTGCTTGCCCGGGAATCACTGCATGCACACAAATAAGCAGAAAGCTGGATGAAAGCATCATTGACCAAAGCCAACGGACGCACCGCGGCGAAAATCATATAGTTTCGCTCCAACACGTCGATATAACGCCATTTTGAACCCTGTGTGACATGCAAGGTGATCAAAGCACCTACGTATGCAACTCGTACCCAACACAAATCCCCAGAAAACTCCTCACCTTGAGGCACACTGACAAGCTCCCTGCATCCTTGGAAGACGCTAAACGCCTGTACCAAGATGGGACCTTGCTTGGCTGACTCCTTCCTCAAGATGCGCGTCAGCTCCCAAAGCGTTGCCAACAAAGAAGGAACTAAAGCAAAGGCTGCTCCAACAAATATTGGCCAATGCAGATCGAATGATAAGTTCAAGGAGGACTTGTACTCTTTGACTGTAATTGAATATTGCAAGCTCTTCGACTCATCAATGGTGCCATCCGGCAAGACATGCACGTGGTGGTCAAAGAAGTGGTGGTACATTTTTGGCAAAACCTCCTGAGATAGAAACACCGGATCACATTCTCGAGGTAAACAAGCCCCAAAGTCCGAGGTTGCAGCGGGTGCCCTCCATGCTTGGTAGAAGAGCAGGGCAAAGAAGAAGCGATGGCCTTCTTCCATACACACAGTTGACTCCCCGTGTCTATGGAGAATGTCCCAATTATGATCTTGTGCCATAACAGCACTCAGGTCTCTCAAGCGTTCTGCATCTGAATTAAAGGAGGTGAGGCACTTTGTTTGGTCTGCCTTGCACACAGACATCAGCAGGAGGAGCACAAGGAGCCACAACGTGCACGTGTCACGAGGAAGGGGAAAGTGTGACAAATCATGTGAGGAAAGCTCGTTCAGTGCCATTGCTTTCAAGGATCAACGCGCTCCGATTGATTCCACTGAGCATAGATCAACATGGATGAAGATTGCATTGCGTCGTCGTCAGCACAAACGCTTCATGATGCTCCATGACTAAATGAGTGTAGTTGATTTATGTAGCGGTGATTCTTGACGACCGCATTGCATTCAAAACATGGCATGGACGGAGGGCCTGCCTGATTCTATATACCTGTTATGAAAGCCTGATGTTATGCTGCAGACTGCCAAGCCAATTGCAGCAGCATAGATGCAGTCTTTGGCAAGATTGAAGCCATGTGCCACATTGCAAACACGTTGCCGGGCTCATTGCGCACAATTATACATTCTTATGTAATGTTTTAATCAACCTGCCCATCTCCTGGACAAAGTGTCGGAAGCTCATCAGCATCTCCTCCTCGGTCTCGAAAGCATACACGGTCGCTCCTGTTCAGCTCTTTCCAACGGTCATGCAGCAAAAGGCTACATGGAGTATACAAGTAAGCCTGCAATCGGAACTCAAAAGGCCTTGCACTCAACTACCCCTTAGTACCAACAGGAACGGTTTTGCACACAAGAACGCCAAATGAACTCACCAATGTGTTTCGGTGTCCGTGCCTGCAATCTCATTGCACGAATTCAACGTCCACACAGCATGAGAAAGCCTGAGTGGGCACAGGACGCCGCTTGTACGTTCCAGCTACCCTCTACATTGGAACAACACTCCTAGTGCTGGCTGGTCCGTTTCACTCTTGGTATTAGATATTCAGGAAATGGCGCGCGCTCACAACCATGGACCTCCACAGCAACTACAAACAAAATGTGGCTCTCACGCTGACGGAAGTACAAACCCTCCCCCTGCCTTCAAGTAAACAGCTATCTGGATCACTGGGCTGCTTTCTGCTTTTGGAAAGCCCTGGTCACGTCGAATCCAAGTAGTTACGACCCATGGCCAAGGGCTTCAAAACTTTCAAGGTTTGCACCTGGCCTTCCCTTCAGGATTGTAGCACCTAAGGAAATGAACGATGAACGTGGAATCCCGCTAACGAACCTGGCGTCCACCTCTGTGTCATTCTGAGAGGTGCGCTCGATATCAAATGAGAGAATACGTAAAGGAGCAATGTGAAGTTTTTCCTGCCAAGTTGGTGGAGGAGAGCCATGTCGACTTGAGCTAACTAGCCTTCACCAGATAGGAACAGTGTTTCTCTAAAGTTTTTTCATCTAGGCCAGGCCTGTGGTTTCAAATCCGAATAGTACATGTCCACTTCAAGCTGGCACCAACTGAGGTGGTCAGCGCCTTCCAAATGCAAGATCTGACCATGTTAGCTGTCAAGCGCGTCAAGGAAGGAAGGAAGGAAGGGAGGAAGGAAGGAAGGAAGGAAGGGAGGAAGGAAGGAAGGGAGGGAAGGAAAGAAGGAAGGGAAGGGAAGAAGGAAGGGAAGGGAAGGAAGGGAAGGAAGGGAAGGAAGGGAAGGAAGGGAAGGAAGGGAAGGGAAGGGAAGGGAAGGGAAGGGAAGGGAAGGGATTGGAAGGGAATGGATTGGAAGGGATTGAAAGGGATTGAAAAGGAAGGAAAAGGAACGGGAGGGAAAGGAAGGGAAAGGAAAGGAAGAGACAGGAAGGGACAGGAAGGGACAGGAAGGGAAGGCAAGGCAAGGGAATGGAATGGAAGGGAAAGGCCACAAAAGGGAATGGAACGGAAAGGAAAGGAAAGGCAACAGAAGGAGGGGACGGGAAGGGAAGGCAAGGCAAGGCAAGGCAAGGGAGAGAAAGAAAGAAAGAAAGAAAGAAGGTAGTTAGTGATTCCTTTCGACGCGAAGGGTTTTTGGCAGAAGGGTGGCCTTCACCATTGCATCAGCCGCCAGCCTCAGCGTGTATTCATATTGCACATGTGTCACTCCTGACCAGCCCACTGAAATCCGCGCGTGGATCACAGGCCGCTGGATTGCCCTCAAGGCCTTCATGGGAGCCATCAAGACCAACACGCCGCACAAAGGGGCCTGGCATGTCCCTGCAGCAACAGGACAGCGGAGCAAGCGGCAGATCTGCAGCACAATTTGGGACATGTTTCAGTGAGGCAGCTGAAGGAAAATGAAGATCTCAAAAAGGCTCTCCAGCACAATTCCATTGTGAGTGAGCTTGCAGCTGCCAGCGCAACGGAGGAATGTCCGCCTGAGGCCCTGGATGAAATCTACAACTTTGCTGTTCGCAGGGCGCAGTTGCTTCTTGAAGACAAAAGCCATTTCATGCATCAAGAAGGAGGAACCGTCACGGTCCAGCTTGTGGACAAGGGTGTCAAGCAACACAAGGCCAGAGCAGATGTCTTTTGGCAGCTGACGCACAAGCCAGAGGCAGTGGGCATCTCTGGCACAGTTCAATGCGGCCGTCATCGCAAACGCATCAAAGCCTGCGCTACACATGAAGAGATTGCCTTCAAAGGTGTGCAGGAAACCCGGATGTGACTTTGGCAGCGCAGCTGTGCCAAAGCTTCCGCTGGTGACCATTCTGGGCATCCTCTGATCGTCACCATCTCACACATGACCTCTTTCAAAGGAGGAGTGCCACTATGGATCTTGGGCGCTGGTGCCGCTGCAGGGTGCCGCTGCCAGACGCGTGGCCGTGCGCGCTTTGGAGCTTGGGCGCTGTTGCTGCTGCCAGGTGCGTGGCCACGCGCGCTTTTCGCTTGGGCGCTGTTTGGGATGCTGGCGCTATTGGCGGGCGCTGCAGAGTGTCGCTGCAGGGTGCTGCTGCTAGATGCCTATGGCAGTGTGCGGCTTCGAGCTGCACGCTCATGCCGCTGCCCGCAAATATCTTTTACGATTTGCGGGCCTATGCCGGTGTAATGTTTTCTCCCTTCCATTATGAGGGCCACCCCGATATAGAATCATTGCACTCAAGTACTCGAGCTTCACAACGCTCCTGACCTGGACGCAAAGAAACACTTACACGATAGACCCTGCAACAGCACCAGCGCTAGCCCCGAACCTGCAGCGGCGCCAGCATCCAAGCTTCCAAGCGCACACAGCACCGCCGCCACGCAGCGGCCCCAGCACCCAAGCTCCCAGCGCCGGCGCCCTGCAGGGCCCTCCAGCGCCAGCGCCCAAGCTCAAAAGTGCACACGACCACACAGCGATGCCAGCGCCCAAGCTCCAAGGCCACTCCAAGCGCACACAGCCACACATCTGGCAGCGGCGCCCTGCAGCCGCACCAGCCCCCAAGCTCCAAAGGGCACACAGCCACACATCTGGCTGCACCCTGCAACGAGCGCGGCCACACATCTGGCAGCAGCACCTGCGGCATCAGCGCCCAAGCTCTGAAGCGCGCACAGATCTTAAATCACCGATGTACATACATGCTTGCAAATATGTGCATACGTGCATGCATGTATACGTGCATACAGGCATTCAGGCATACGTGCGTACATGAGTACATGCATACATGCGTTAAGTTACGGTACGGTACATTACGTTACATTACATCACATTTCACTACATTACATACATATTCGTATATGACATACATTACCTACATTACAGTACAGCACATGACATGACATGACATTACATTCCACTACATTACATGCCTACATACCTACATACCTACGTACCTACATACCTTCATACCTACATACGGACATACGGACATACATACATACATACATACATACATACACATACATGCACATACATACATACATACATACATGCATGCACACACACATACATACATACATACATACCTACATACATATAATACATACACACCTGAGAAAGGAGAGGACGAAAGCCAGCGAGAGACCAACACGGTAATGCAAGACTGGGAGGAACCAATAGCAAAGCACTTATTGTTGAGTGCCTGTGGCTTTCGTGGAGCTTGTATCGGTCAAGGTCGGAGCACAGCATGAAGCGTTGAATGTTTTACCTGGCGCGGTGCTCTCTGGAGCGTCCCTGTTTTGTGGTCTATTTGAGAATCCGGGAAAAAAGAAACGTCAGTGAAGACCTTCTTTGAATGGTTGTAGTTTTCGTGGAGCTGGTATCACTGCGACGTAGACGAAGATCGGAGCACAGCATGAAGTGTTGAACGCTTGCAGCTTTCTTGCTTCTCCTCTTGCGGCGCTCTTATCCCCAAGCCTCTACCTCGCCCAACTGCACATACTCACATCGTTCGCTCCCAGAGCGTTCACTCTTTGTTGCCCCCTCCGCGCCCCCTTAACTCACTTCGTTCGCTCTAAGAGCTCAAGCCTAGCCTATCGGCTGGCTTTCGTAACATACACACATACATACATACATACATACATACATACATACATACTTACTTACTTACTTACATTACATTACATTACATACATTACATACATGCATACATGCATACATGCTTACATACATACATACATGCATGCATACATGCATGTATGCATACATACATACATGCATACATGCATACATGCATACATACATGCATGCATACATGCATACATACATACATACATAAATTACACCACCGTAGACCCCAAACAGGTGGGACAACAACGAAGCATTCCCAAGTCCACATTTTGAGACATCAAGAAGAAGGGAGACAAGAAGGGAGACAAAAGGAAACAGAAGGGAGACAAGACAATGGCCAACAAGAAGGGAGACAAGAAGGGAGACAAAAGGAAACAGAAGGGAGACAAGACGGACACAATGGCCAACAAGAAGGGAGACAAACGGAAGGGAGACAAGACGCACACAATGGCGACAAGGCGGACACAGTGACCAACAAGAAGGGAGACAAGAAGGGAGACAAAGGTAACAGAGGGGCACAAGGCGGACACAGTGACCAACAAGAAGGGAGACAAGACCGGAGACAAAGGGAGGAGCCATGTAGCATTTCTATTCATTTGCCCCAGGTCTGTCACTGCTTGCGTCCGCCCTTTTCCGCTGGCGACGCAACATTTCTATTCATTCCCCAATCAGTGTACTTCTAGGGGTTCTCAATTCTTTCTTAAAACGTGCCCGCCCTTTCTGTCACTGCTGGCGTCCGCCCTTTTCCGCTGGCCATGCAGCGTTTCAATTCATTTGTATCAAAAGTGGTTTCTTTACTTTTGTCTCCCAAGTTCGGTGTGCCCTGCTAGTGTCCACCCTAATCAGCTGGCCATGCAGCGTTTCTATTCATTTGCCTCCCAAATGATTTGTTTACTGTTCTTTTCCAGGTTCCCCTTTCCAGCATTTCTACTCATTCGTCTCCCAGGTGGTTTCTGCACTTCCCCAAACTGGTTATATACTGTTAGGGGTCCTCAAGGCTTTCTAAGAGTGTCCGCCTTGCTGCGGGACAGCGTGTCCGCCTTCCGTCCAGCTTGTCTCCCTTTGTCTCCCTTCTTGTTGGTCACTGTGTCCGCCTTCTCCCTTCTGTCAACGGAAAAGGGCGGACACCAGCAGCGACAGACCTGGGAGACAAATGAATTCAAATGCTACATGGCCAGAGGAAAAGGGCGGACACCACCAGTGACAAACCTGGAAGACAAATGAATAGAAATGTTGCATCGCCAGCGGAAAAGGGCGGACACCAGCAGTGACAGACCTGGGAGACAAATGAATAGAAATGCTACATGGCCAATGGAAAAGGGCGGATACCAGCAGCGACCTGGGAGACAAATGAATAGAAATGCTGCATGGCCAGCGGAAAAGGGCGGACACCAGCAGTGACAGACCTGGGAGACAAATGAATAGAAATGCCACATTGTAGCTACATGGCCAGCGGAAAAGGGCGGACACCAGCAGTGACACAAAGGGCGGACACATCTTAAGAAAGAATTGAGAACCCCTAACAGTAAACTGTTTGGGGAATAAACATAAATAAACATAAATAAACATAAACATAAACATAAACATAAACATAAACATAACATACATACATACATACATACATACATACATACATACATACATACA